TCGAGGCTTTCGAGGAGTGGTGCCTCGAGGAGGGTCGGCAGAATAATCGTCGCACAGACGCGGACGGAATGTGGCGCAGCGGTTTGCTTCGATGTTCCTTGACGGCACGGGGCCCGGCACGGGCCGCAATGGTCTTTTCGGCTGGGCCCTATTGGTTGGAGATGTGTTTCAGGATGGGCGGCAGTTGCTGCCTCGAGCCTGTCGGCAGCTGAAGGGCTGGGGACGTGCGGATCCCGGTGCAGTGGGACTCCCGCGTCCACTGATGATCGTGCTCGCGATTGCCCTCGACATGCTGGTTCGGGGCTTGGCGCGAATGGCCGCGCGCGTTGCGCTGCAGACCGACCTGCGCTCGCGGCCGTCAGAGACGCTGGAGCTTCGCGAGAACGATCCCCCCCGCAGCCGCCCTGAGGCCGGCCGAACTTACGCCGGCCGATGGGCGGTAGTCTTTGCCCCAGCCGAGTCTGCGAGGAAGACGAAGACGGGGGGAACTGACGAAACTGTTGATGTTGGCGCGCGTGGCCGAGAGTGAGTGGGTTAGAGACATCGTGGCAGCGGCAGCTCTCAAGGACTCAGTGGCGCCTGGCGAGCGCGACTGGTTTCGACCTCCCGACCTATGAGAGAGAGTTTCGGATGCCCCCTCAAACTTTTGTCTGTCGGAGGCCCCCAATCACTGGCCCAGCAACTGTGGCCCCTTCCAATGACAGACATGAGACGAGGCAGACCTTCAATCAATCCAAAAGCGCGGTAGATACATCAGTTTTAAAAGCGTCACGCGGCACGACAAGCATGCGCAGCCGTTGAAACAACAGGAGAAGTAGCAACACAAGTCAGGCCCGAAGCGCACAGCACGCATCCAAAGTCATGTCTGCCAGACTTCAGCACTCGCTTCAGGAGTTTTCGGTTTCAGAACCAGTTCCGAGAGATTCGGGAAGTTTGGCCGTGACGAGACGGTTCAAGCGCAGCTGCCATTGAGATTCGTTCGTGTCGACTGTTTTCGCACGCCTGCCACCGATGGTGTCAGCGTCCTCTTGCGTGTTCTGAGAGGAGTATCCCTGGGGCCCGCGGGGCCCGCGCCCTTGCGCGACTCGGCCTGCGTTTCCCGCTGTTGCGTCGGATGTTTTCGCTGGTGTGCGGAAAGTTGGCCGTCTAGGTCCTAGGGAATTTGTATCTTATAGATGCGTTTTCCCTCAGGCCGTGCATATCATGCCGGTCCGACTGCATCATGGTGTTTTTTGTTTCACTTCTGCATCATGCCATGCTGGCTCAAGTTCGACCATCCTACGTCCCCACTGCCACCCCTTTATCTTGGCCGTGTAGAGACGGTCCAAGCGGAGCTGCCCTTGAGAGAGAGAGAGAGAGAGAGAGAGAGAGAGAGAGAGAGAGATTCGTTCGCGTCGAGTGTGTTTGCGCGCCTGCCAACAATGGTCCCAGCGTCTTCTCGCGGCGTCTGTGGAGAGTAACCTTTGGGCCCGCGTGGCCCGCGCCTTCGCGCGACTCGGCCTGCGTTTCCCACTGCTGCGTCGGATATTCTCGCTGGTTTGCAGTAAATTGGCCGTCTAAGGAATCCAACTTACCAAGCTTGGATCGCGCTCATTGAATTCAGGTGTGGGGGGGGGGGGGGGGGGGCGCGGGGCGCGTGAGAGCGCGCGAGGTTCGCGCCCACGAGGCCACGCCCCCTCGTCTGCGAGCTGATCCCTTTCATCGACTACGCGTTGAGCCGCGCATTCAGAGGATGGTGCAGGACTCGGCAGAGCTCGAGACCAACAAGGCGCAGCATGAGAGCACGCGCGCAATCCGAGAACATCAGGAGCAGGATCCGCCACTTGCCGGGCCAGAACAAGATGGCCGCTGGCCGACGCGCGACATGGCCTATCATGTGGCTCTGAAAAATCGAATCAAGCAGCGACTGGACTGGAAGGAGCGCGAACAGTCACTGGGGCACGGCAAGGACGTCGCGGCGCGCAGATGACAGAGCTTAAGGCGGGCCGCAATCACTGCGCGAAGTGCAACGCGCACCATGCGTGGACTGGCCTCCTGAAGTCACTCTCAGCAGACGACGCCTCGAATGTCGCCCAGACGCGCAACGCCGTTGACGGCGGGACCGCTAGTGGCGTTCTCCAGGAGTGCGTCGACGAGAACGATTACACACCGCTCCAAGCTTCCTTTGTCGAGTGCACGAAGCAGGTGGATGAGGAAATTGCAGGGGGGGGGGGGGGCGCTCGACAACCTGGAAGGTCAGACGCGACCCTATGCAGCATATCGTTTCGACATTTTCCGGCATCTACCAGCGTGGATCCAAGAATTGCCGACGTTCATCGACCAGGCGGAGCTCTGGGATTTGCCGGAGATCGGGGGGAATCTCTGGCACGAGCACAAGGAGGAGAGCATCGGAGGCGGTGGAAGTGCCCACTATGCGCGTGGACATCGTGCCCCATGGAGACGAGGACGTCAGGGTGGCACTGACAGCTTCCGCGAAGCTCGAAAAATATATTTCCGTCCCAGGACAGGTCGGAAAATCCCCCGATGAAAAAGGTGTGATTGTTTTTGGACCTCCAGGACAGTGCATCAGTGCACGCTGGAAGATAAATTTCAAGCTCGCCAGGAAAAACAAGTCCGCTTCCGGAAAAATGTTTAGCAACGCTTGGAAGACTTGCGTCAGTTTTGCCGTTGGGAAGGATGGCGTGGACAGCGCATTGCGCCACAGAGCTCGTCCCGGGCGCCGTTTCACATGTGACTTTATTTGGATGCGCAATTCGAGGGCGGCCCAAGGTTCACCCCGGAACGCCTGCGCGACTAGGTAGAATAACCTTTTGAACACGGCCCGATCACGTATCTCACTGGGCAGCGGTGGTGCGCATGTTCGGCAATGATTGGTGCCGGGCATATGTTTGAACCAGCTCTCATTGGCAGGGGCTCCGATTTCAAGACTGCTCCTCACGACGCCGATTTTGCAGCTCTTGCCTCTATTTGGAGCAGTTGTGGCATGCGCATTCTGAAGGCAGGACTTTCTAGTCCTGATGATGTGCTCGGAGTCTACTGCGAGGGTGAGCACTGCCGTGGCTGCTGTGCTCATTGCATGGTTCGCATGTCCTCCGGCCTCGGTCACGCGATGAATACTTATTCGTGCGTTTTCGAGATGCAGGTCGATCGGAGGCGTCGTTCTAGCTATCCTAGGCTGCACGTCCATAGGCAATGGTGCCAAGGTGAAGGAAGCACCTACGCCATGAAACTCCGGGCCCAGACTGCGACGATGAGGGAGATCTACGGCAAGGCCTAGAACCGTGAGCTTGGTTTCGGATAGTACAAGCTATGGAATCGGACGGTCAGGATGCACCACGCAGCGAAGGCTTTCCCAGATGCTGTTCCGTGTGCACATGCGTATTCGGGCGACGCGATCGACAGGGACAGACTGGACATGTCTGACATTGATTCCCCTCAGCCCGTGCTCGTGCGAAAGCGAGACCGGTGGATTCCGCGGCGGGCTACGGAGCTATTTGGGGCGCAAGAGTACTAGCGCCCCCTACTGTCGGCCCAACTCCGAGCCGCCGAGATTTACGAATGAAGCGGGCGAGTCCGCGGGCGAGTCTGGATTGAATCGCGGTAAAACGAGCGCCAATCCCTCGAGAGACCTTTCTTGGCAAGCCTTTCCCATATATCACTGGGCTCGCGTAGCTGAAGCGGCCGCTCGTCGCAGATGACTTCAGGACGACCTTCGAGATAGAGAGTATCAGTGAGCCCGAGGTGAGGTGAGTCTTCGGCTGAGCGTTCGGCCGAAAACAGAAAAGGTAGGAGCTGTGATTGTCATGTATATTTCTGCCTTCCCTCCTCCCGCGCCTCTCTCTCTCTCTCTCTCTCTCTCGCCCCCCCGCCCCGCGGCCGTCTCGGATCGCAGGGCCCTTGGGCCGCGTGGCGCGCTGGCTGCCGGCGCGCGCGAGCCCCCGGAAAAAAGGAATGAGAACGTGCTCTTCCTTATTATTATTATTATTATTATTATTATTATTATTCTTCTTCTTCTTTTTATGTTTGTTCTTTCTCTCTCTCTCTCTCTCTCTTTCTCAACGCGGGCCCCTCTACTTGCACTCCGTGTCTCTCTGTATTCTGTGCAGCTACCATTGTGCATTCCGCATCCCCCCTCCGCCTTTTTTCCGCGCGTATTCGCCCGGCCTTCTAGTTTACGTGAACGTTCACGGAACTCGGATTCAGATATTTGTAAATGATGCAGTTTTGTTGGTGTCCCGGTCCCCCGGCTGCGCGCAACGGCTCGCCTATCGCAGGTTGGCTTGAGCGCTGTTCCAGGTGATTTGGCTTTCCTCCTCATCCTCCCCTTCCTCCCCTCCGTTTTTCCCCGTCCTCCTTCGGCCCATTTTCTGCCTCCCCCCCATTCGCTGCCGGTGCTTTTTCACTTCTGGCCGCTGGTAAGGTTCGAAGCACTTGCTGCACGGGGCAGCCAATTTTGGCAACCGAGCTGCCCACTCTCCCCTCCTTTCCTCCTCTTCCTCCGCCTCCTCGACCGCTCGCCCAGGCAATATTTCACAGGTGGTTTCTTTTGTTTGCGTCTGTCTGTCCAAACGGGGGCAAGATTTGTCCGCCCCAACTGGCGCCTACAGAAAGCAACAGCGTAATGGTGGCGAGGCCCGATCTCGTTTTTGCCCGAATCCTTGGCCAGAGTTTCGGCCACGTTCGCAGGACAGCCTTGCGACGAACAGGGTCGTGTATACTATCGCTGTTTGCTCCCATTCCTTGCTCCTCCAAACAAAAATCTAGTTGTTCTCAATGCGTGGTTCTCGCCGTAGCAGCGTCCACATTCGCTCTATCCACTTGCAGCAGCGACGCGGTGTAAGAGGGGGTAAGAAGGAGGGGCGAGAAGGACGATTATAAAGACTATCATGCGGATGTAAAGTCAAAGTAGTTGCAGCAGCGGCAAGATAATTTTGCCCTCGCAAAAAAAAACAAGCTGCAAGCCCCCCGCCCCCCTTTTCACCCCTCCCAGACGTGGACAGGCCCAACCGCCTCCGGCTGCACGCTTACGCGGAGCAGCCGGGCCAGGAGCGCCCTTTCGACGACAAGGCCGCTCGACGGGGAGGAACCTTTTTTCCAGACAGGGACACCGACCGGGCTAAGCTAGAGCTTGCAAGGCGCTCTTAATGTTTGGGGAAGGTAGTTCGGCATGAGGAGCAGCAGCAGCAGTAGCAGGACGAGAGGGAGGAGGAGGAGGAGGAGGACGACGACGACGACGAGGACGAGGACGAGGAGGACGAGGACGAGGACGAGGACGAGGACAAGGACGATGATGACCCGCCCGAACAAAAACAAAACAAAAAAACACGAGGATGGACGGGCACAAGGGTGTAGGCGGCGACAAGGACAAGGAGGACGGGGAGAGGGGATGGCAGGGCAAGGCTGAGGGAAAAGGATAGGGGGAAGGGGCATAGGCCTGTGGCCGCGGGAGGAGGAGGAGGAACGATGAAAAGAAGAAGAATGAGACGGAGGAGAAGCAGCGGGTAGTTGAGAGGGACGGGTAGGAGCCAGAGCAGTCGGAGGACAAGGAGGTGGCTCTTGGAGCATTGTAGGAGCTTTGCTGGTATTATAAGCCCCAGGACACGGTCCAGCAGCTGCGCCGCGCCAGGAGTTTATGAAGAGTCGTCCCGAAGGGCCCTTCGCGCATGAACCCTCCTTCTCCCGCCCGTCCCACTTTTCTCAGCCTCTTTTACCGTTCTCATTGATCCCACTCCTCCCCCTCCTCCTCCTCCTCATTCCGACCTTCCCTCTCCGCCTTCCCCTCCTCTCATTTTCACGCCCCTCCCGTCCCCTCCCGCCTCCTAGACTATGTAATCGGTGAGTCTTGCCCTTTAGATATTGTAAACACATCCTACAGCATGGGAAGAGGCATGACGATTGGACGACGCGACGAGAATAACGACGACACGACGGAAACAATTAAGGGGGAGCCAGCTGAAACTCGCCATTGAATACAATGACCACGCTCTCGACGTGGCCCAGGATGTTGCCTGTCCACTGGTATGCTGAGCCGACTTGCCGAGTGGCCGAGTGCGGTCTTCGTAGGCAGTTCTTGGCCAAGATGACCGCAGTACGACAGATTGCGCATGTCTCATCCAGATGCTCCATGCTGGACACTGTCCAATCCCGCCCATCGGCACCGCTCATGTCTAAACCGTGGCCCAAACTTTAAGTGACCAGATGAGAAGTGAGGATGCGAGAGCGTTCTGTGTTCTTGATATTTGCATTGGCGGTTCATTGAGCACACTGCAGGACAAACCACGAGACAACAAACGGGGCGACCTGCGGAACAACACGCGACACACGGGACAACCTCGGGCCAACCACGAGACTACCCCCGGCCAACGCAAGGGAAACTCACGGCGGAGGCATGTCCCCAAGACGACCCCCAAGGGTGCGCCAAACATGGCCCGGGAATGGCCCCGAAGGATGCGGAAAGCCGCGCCTTCCTCCTGGGCAATCCCAGGGCCATGAATACGGCTTTTTCCTGCGTCCATTTCAGGGCTGTGTTTTCCGCATTATTTCACCCTCCTCCGCATGTCCCTTATCTACCCTTACTCTCCCGTAGCCATTTTGGCTCAAGAAGGCCATGTGGGCTCAAGGCTCGAGAATGCTCGAGAAGTTTTGCACCCCTGATCCAGGTCAGGAACTCTACTCCTACATCCTTTCTGCTTTCCGCTACTCTCGTCCCTACACTTCGAGTTAATACCGATTGCTGTTTCTGTTGGTGGTGACCAGCGCGTGTCAGGAACCCCTGTCAAGCACTGGTTCAAGGACTCACAACTGGCTGCTTCACCATCGTTGGTGCTGGCCCCAGCTGGGAGAGTGAAATAGCACAGGATCCACAGTCCACTTCATGAAATAGACGGTCTCGTCGGCGACTCCTTCGCCCGCCGGTGCACTTCCACGCCAATTCCAAGCACACCTCACAGAGGCTGATGGCTGCTGGAGCTCAGCAGGAAGATGAAGGCAAGGGTAAAGGCAACAGCGCATCGCTGACTTTGTCCAACCTCGGCACGCCCATTGCAAAACATCTACGACTTATCCAGCAGTACATTGCAGCGATGAAAGAGAATGGGATTTCCAGGCGCGACCTGCAGATGACAGTGCAGCCTAAACGCCGCTGTGGGCGAACTACTTGCTCGGGTGCAGGCTCTGGAAATGTCGTCGGTGCCGCCCTCGGCGAAATCCACATCAGCAATGTCGACGAACACGGCCATGGCCAGTAAGCTTGAGGATCTTGAACGTCAAGTTTGTGCGCTGGATACTGCCTCTGGTTCGCAATCACAGTACAAGTACGCTGACATTGACGGCAAAGAGGGATATCACCGCGGTCATCGAAAACTTGGGCAGCATCGACTCGTTCCCGGAGGCTGAAGAATGGGTCTAACACCAATTTGCGTCCATGAGCGGGCCAGCACCTTCAGAAATCTATGTCACATGCGACCCCACAAACATCGTGTTCGCCGAATTCGCAGACACAGCCGAAAGAGGCACTGTAGCATGATATTAGAAGTACAGGTTTTACAATCAATGAAAAGAGGAGTTGGGTTACGCAAGACAGACGGCGCCTGCATCTCCGTTCTGTTCGTATTTTCTCTTTTGGCTAAAATCATGTACATGTTGCGTGACACCATGCACGTAGACTACACGATCAAGGTCATCGAAAGTTCACCGCTGCAGGTCTTCGTCGGAGGGGAGCTGGCGATCACCATAGACTTCCCGGAAACATTTTGGAATACGTATGCACGAAGGAATGGGAAGAGTGGGAGGATCTGCAAAACAATACCCAAGTGAAAGACCTCAAACAAGCATGCTATGATCTAGTGGCCCGTGCAAGCCGCGGTATGAAGAGAGCCGCCAAGGGCAGAGGAAAAAAGGGGCACTGGCTGGTGCGGGAAACCTCCAGCATTGGAACCGGATATAAGACAAATGCTTATTGGAACTACCATGCCGGTAGCAACGCGAGATTGGACAGAGATACCCTCACACTAGATGTGGAAAAAGCAATGGAGATGCAGATGTTCTTCCTCATCCTGAAACTTCCATTCGCCTTGATCATCCTGCTCTACGCCCCCAGGGTTTCGGACATGAAGGCGGCGATCCAGACAGCACGGACAGAGATGCCGACCATCTGGGTAATCAGTAAACACCAACAAATCAACAGCACAATACATTCCCAACTGGGCAGAGGACGCTGGAAAGAAGCAGTCTGGGGAAATTTGGGTTGCCAAAAGGGAACATGCAGACCTTTGGACACCAGGTTGTTGCCACCTGGAACGTGCAGGGGCTTGGAAAAGTTGTTGGGAACATGGTTCAAAATTGATTCAACGTGGTGCAACTGGATCTTGCTATCTTGCCCACGCAGGAAACACATGTTATCCGGAACTGGTATTTGGTACAGCGCGGGGCGCGGGCGGCGGCCAGCATCTCGCCCGCGGTGGCATCCTGCGGCAGGTGGGCGGGGACGCAGCCCCAGACGCCGCGCGCGGCGCCGCGGACCTGTGGCGCTGCCAGCCCCCAGCCGGCGCGCACCTCGGGCGACCCCGCCTAGCCGCGCAGGGCCATGCCGTCGGCGCATAGGATGCCGGCGCCCGCCAGCGTGGTGTTGCCGAGGCTGCTGCTCCACTGCGTCGCCTCGGTTTCTGGCGGCGGCGGCAGATCGCCCACATGGTCGGGGATGGGCGCCCTCGAATAGCGGGGGCTCTCGCCGTCGGAAGCGCTGCCGCATCAGCATGGGCCTGCAGCGCCGCGTCGCCAACGACGGCATCGAGCTGCTCCGGCGCCAGGGCGGGGCACCGCAAACCGAGGTGGCGCACTGCGCCGCGGCCGCCGCATCCCGCGGGGCAGGCGCTCGAGCGGCGCAGCGGCGGATCGAGCGCGGCTCGGCGGGCACTGGGCCAGAGCCCGCCGAGCGCCGCGTTGCGGGCGCTGGACCACCGTGCCCGCTGCGTCAAGTGCGCCTGCGCACGTGATAGCACGCATCGGGAAACACGTCGGCCCGCACCATCCTTGTCGAAAACCAATGCCCATCATTGTGTCTGGTGGGCCTGTGCACAGCAGGCCACGCGCCACCACCCTCGCCGCCCCTGTCAAAACCACTGGACAGTGATCGCGGAATGGCCGCGCACTATCCACAGCTGTGAGGTGCATGTCGCATTTTTGTCAGGGATGGTAGCCCTGCGCACAGCAGGGAATACGCTGACACCCCCGCCGTCCCTGTCAAAAACCATACAGAGTATTCGCGGGCCTCACGAACATGATTCAAGACTTTGCCCCGAAGTGTACTTTGTATTGTTTTTGACAGGGATGGTGTGGGGAGGGGGCGCATCGGGTTGGCCGCGCATGCTCCAAATGTGGAGGAAGAGTGAGGTTGTATTGTTTTTTTGTTGACAGGGATGGTGGGGAGCGGGTCGTCATGGTGTCCTCATGGTTTCTGGCTGGACTCAGGTCGCCTGGGGGAGGGTGTGTATATTTCATCAGGAGCAGTGATAGACCCCTCCCCGAAGGGGAAGAAGAGGGTTGGACAGAGGGGGCTCTCTAAACCACTCACGCCCAGAGGGCTGGTGGGATCAGGGCCCCCCTTCGGAACCCGAGAATTTGCCTCTCGGGGCCCTCTTGGGCCGCTCTTGCGGCGCTCTTGGGCGCTCTTGGACCTGTCTTGGGCCTCTCTGGGGCCTGTATTGGGGCTCTCTTCGGCTACATTGGGGCCATCTTGAAGCCTCAAGGGCCCATTGAAAACGAAAAGGCGAGAAGGGAAAACACATTGACTTGCCCTTGGTGTTTGAAGGATTTGGGCCTCTCGGGGGCGTCCTTGGGAGGCTTCGTGGCAACTTGAGGCGGTCTTGGAGCCTCGTGTAGGCTCGTTCGGAGCTATCTTGAGTCATCGAGGGCTATCTTGAAGGATCTTGGAGGTCATCTTGAGCTCACTTGGGCTCTCTTGGGTTGTCGTGGCGTCATCTGGAGCCTCTGGGGGCCTCTTGGGGGCCTTTTGGGGGCTTCTTGGAATCCTTTTGGGCGCCTCTTGAGGCCTCCTGGGCGTCTCTCGGGGCCCTCTTGAGGCGTTTTTGGGAGCCGTGGGAGCGCTCTTGAGGCCATCTTGGAGGCCACGGCTCAAAAAGGAGCGCGGCGTCAATTTCCCCCCCCCCCCAAGAGGGCAACATGGGGCCAAAACTTTTGTAAAACCAATGATGTTGGCTTCCTAGCCGAGGCCGTTTTGGACGCTCTGGCGACCCGCGCCCCCCCCCTCCAGGCCCAGGGGGAGGGGGTATGGGGGAGGGGGCAAGCTACCCGCCCGCCCGCAAGCCGTCTAGCTCACTCCCACCCGCCCTCCCTACACACAAGTAACACCCGAGCCTGAGCATGTTCAGCGGTCGTCTTTGGATGGGCAGCTACTGGGAACCAAAGCCGACCCCAGGTGCGCGACGCTTGGGCGAGGTGCGCCACGAGTGCGGGGCGCCACGCGCGCCTGGCACCCCTGGGGCCCGAGCGTGCCAGGCACGCCTGGTGCGCCAGATGCGCCACGTGCTCCGAGTGCGCCAGGTCTGCCGCACACTCCAGCCGCGCCAGGTGCGCCGCGTTCGGGGCACGTGCAGAGTGCGTCAGGTGCGCCTGCGCACGTGATAGCACACATCGGGAAACATGTCGGCCCCCACCATCCTTGTCGAAAACCAATGCCTATCATGGTGTGTGTGTGTGTTGGGTGGGCCACGCGCCACCACCCCCGCCGTCCCTGTCAAAAACCAATTGACAGTGATCGCGGGATTGCCGCGCACTATCCAGATTTAGCCGTGAGGTGTATGTTGTAGCCCTGCGCGCAGCAGGGAATATGCTGACACCCCCGCCGTCCCTGTCAAAACATACAAAAAGTTCGCGGGCCTCACGAACATGACTCAAGACAATGCCCAAAAGTGTACTTTGCATTGTTTTGTTGCAGGGATGGGGGGGGCGCATCGGGTTGGCCGCGCATGCTCCAAATGTGGAGGCATAGCGCAGTTTGCATTCCTGTTTCAAAGGGATGGTGGGGGGCGGGTCGGCATGGTGTCGGGTTGGCCTTGGTCGTCTGGGGGAGGGGGTGTATGATAATAAGGAACAGTGATAGACCCCTCCCCGAAGGGGAAGGAGGGGTTGGACAGAGGGGGCTCTCTAAACCACTCACGCTCCGAGGGCTGGTGGGATTGTAGTATGTCGCCCAGATGTTGATCGGGTGACGCATGTCTCTTTTTACCTACATAGCTTTGATTCGTTCGGATGGAGAACAGCTGAAATCGCAGTGCATGGTTTCATTTGAAAGTGTTGGGCTGGCGTGTGCTAGCCGTTAGCCCACAGTGATCAGTTCGGCTTTTAGCTTCAACATGTTGTCGCCGCCGAGTTACAGGCCTCACCCTTGCGCTTGCTCTTCTACTATACCGACGGGTGAATTACCTGCATAGATCAGAATCTGACGTCGCATGTTCAGGTTGACCAGATCTGCGCGTATATGGAAAATTGTGGGCTCCGCCGTTGTCTTGCCTCCAGCAAGCGTTTCGCACAACCGAATTCGCGATATCATGTTTGGCAACAAAAGAACACCCTTCTCCTCCGCCACCATCACCCTCGGCCTCTCCTCGCCACTTTCACGTCCCAGTTCTTTTTCTCATCCCCCCTTCCGCTCATCCCTTCCCCCTTCCGGTGTCCACCTCCTCCTCACCTTTCCTCTCTCCTCTCCCTCTCCTCCACCTCCTTCTCATCCTTACCCCTCGCCTCCACCTGCTCCTTCCCTTCGCCCTCTCGACCCCCCTCGCCCATTCCTGCGGGTAGGGCGACCGGTCCATCGTGGAGCTGTGGTGAACCCAGCTGGCAGTGCACAGGAGAAAGTAGGAGGAGGAGGAGGAGAAATGAATGGATGAACAGCAGTGGCACGAGGAGTAGGGCAGCTCACTGCTGCAGGGCCTGAAGTTTTTAATATCTGGCCTTGTTCCACGCAGCAGAGAGAGGAGGGCCTGACAGGCCCGAAGACCCAGTGAATGATCCTTGCATGTGTTCCACACCTGTCCTCGCGCATGTTCTCGGACCTTTCGCGCGCGCTCCCAGAAAATGGAGAGCAGCTGGTATGCGCGCACGTGTGTCTACGTACGATGTTCATTGCTTGTGGATACACACTCGCTCTCTCTCTCTCTCTCTGTCTCTCTCTCTATTTGGCTGGATGTTCTGGTCTATTGTTGTTTCGCTCGACAGTCGCCATATAGTATGTCCCTTTCTCTTTTCCTCCTCTCCCTCTCTCTCTGCCAGTTTGTGTATATCGAAGACGCCTTCGGCGAACCACCGCCGCCCCCTGCCTTCTGGACTCGCCCATGCGGCCAAATGTTGGGCCAAAGTCTGACCAAGATAGTGAAATATGTGCTCCCCGAGCCGTGGTGGAACCCCTTGGGGGGAACACCTGGGAGAGAAATAGAAATGAGGATGAGAGGGAGGATATTTCTTCGGCAGAGAGGGAGGAGGACGAGGAGGAGAGGGAGGAGAAGGAGAAGGAGGAGAAGGCGGAGGACGAGGAGGAAATGGAGGCATCTTGAGGCTGTCTCGTGACTTCCTGAAGCTGCACCGCCACCTGCCTGTCCGCCGCGCCTGCCCCTCACAGACGGGCGCCCTGCGCAATCACCCCCCCAGAACAGGTGCCCTGCCCAGCCTGCCCCCACGTCGATCACCTCCAGCCCGTTGCTCCTCGCGATCTGCCTGGTCTCGGCTTAGGGCACTCGCGAGAAAGCGTCGGCCGCGACGTGGCGATGTGTCCTGACGTAGGTGCTGGCTACCTCAAAGCCGTAGACGGCCTCCAGGCACGTGGTCACCATGACGAGGAAGTTGGCGTCACTACTTGTCACGCGTCCTACGAAGTGGGATGCGAGAATCATCCGACAACTTTCCAAGGGGGCTTTTCGTCACGAGCCGATGTTTGATTGTCCCCTGGTCCAAATGACAGGG